GAAAGAGGAAGAGTTAATAAGATAAGGGGGAAGAAATATTTCTGAGTGAGAGGACAGTATGGTGCTAAGACCCTGCATGTGAAAGGAGCATCCTAGTTGAGAATGAAGAACTGAAAGAATGTCTTTGTGGTTGGAGGGGAGTGGTTTGTAAGGTGGACAGGGGCCGGGTTATGTAAGCTGTGTTAAAGGTACTGGACTTTTTCCTGAGAAGATTGGGAGGACTGGAGAGTTTTATGCAAGCAGGTAGCAGGATCAAATTTGCATTTTAAGGCCAGATGTGGTGGCTTTGAGAGACTGAGGTGGTTGGATCACAAGGTCAGGAATTCGAGAGCAACTTGGCCAGTAAGATGTAACCCTGTCTCTACTAAAAATACAAAAAATAGCCAGGCATGATGGCGTGTGCCTGTAATCCCAGCTATTCGGGAGACTGAGGCAGGAGAATCGCTTGAACCTGGGAGGCAGAGGTTGCAGTGAGCTGAGATCAGGCCATTGCACTCCAGACTGGGCAACAAAAAGAGACTCAACTTCAAAAAACAAAACAACCACAACAACAACAAAAACTACATTTTAAAAAGATTCATCTGGCTTCATGTGGATAACCTGGGAGACAGGAAGCTATTGCAGTAGTCAACATGAAATATAACAGTAATAATTATACCTTAAATAGTTATACCTTGAATGCTAATAATTATACTCTTGCCAGGAGTTTGAGACCAGCCTAGACAACAGAGCGTGACTTTGTCTTTACAAAAAAAATTTTTTAAAAACTAGCCGGTTGTGGTGGTGCATAACTGTTGTCTCAGCTACTCTGGAGGCTGAAGTGGGAGGACCAGTTGAGCCCAGGAATTTGAGGCTGCACTGAGCTATGATCTTGCCACTGCACCCCAGCCTGGGTGACAGAGTAAGACCCTGTTTCTTTAAAATAAATAATAATAATAGTAGTTCTCTTGAAAGTGTAGATAAATTCACCAGGATAAATTGGTGAACTTGAGACATGTTTAGATGAATAACTATAGCACTTGTACTCTAAGATGGAAATGTTCCTGAATGTTCTATGGAAGCAATTGGTCCTTAATCTTTGATCACTTGCAACACACAAGACAGACATTTTGACTTACGGGACAAATTTCCATTGGATATACGTGGATTTTGGTGAAAGCC